CTCTCATAGATGTCGGTACGGTTCTGGTATGTCCTTGATCGTAACCAGTTTATCTGCTTCTACCTCCATTTCTACCCCTTGATTGGCTCCAGTAGGCACAAATCCAAATGCTGGAAGGGATGAGGGCAGAGTGTCTAGCAGCATGAACCCAATAGGGCCATCCTCCAGAGCTGCTTGGATCAATCTTTCTGCTGATATGAACTCGTGTCCATGAAGTTTTATAGACTTATAGTGCTTATCAGGGGGATCTTTTTTGTTTTTCTTTGGGGGCACCTGTCATGGGGCTCCCGACTCTTCTGGTTGGTCCTTCTGAGCTTGGGTCTTGAATTCGAGTTGGCCAGTATCCCACTGGATCATTGGTCTCAACCTTTTCAATTCCGAGAAACCCAGAATGAGGTCATACTCAGCAGTGTTGGCTACTGATGCCTCCACTGCCCCTAGTACATGTTTTCCAATAACTACCTGCACCGTAGCAGAGCTGTTAATGGCGAGTTTGTGTCCGGTGACACCATGTACAGTTCGTGTTTTTGTTGGTTTTGTGTTTAAGTGGTACTTGCTGACAAAAGATTCTGAAACTATGGATAAGCCTGTGCCTGTGTCGGCGAGTATTCGGGCCGGGTGATCTTGGATCATACCCATTAACTCGAGCACCACCTTGCTTGCATTAGTGGAGAAACAAACAGAACAATCTTGATATGTACAAATGGATGGCGACCAAGGTTGTAGGGCGATGCACACCATCAGGGCATTGTCCCACTGACATTTCCCTCCTCGTCCTCCTCATAATTGCTCTCTGCCTCGTTGGTGAGAGATAACTGAGCAAGCTCGAGGCTGGCTTGCTTGACTGAATATGCATCTTGCAGTTCTTCTTCAGTCATGCTTTCCTCCTCAGGAGTTGATTCTCCCTCGGGGGCATCTTCTAAGGTCACCATGACTTTTGGACCATTAGGTCTGGTTGTCATTGGTATGGGAGGTTTTCTAGTAGGACAATCCCTTGCCCAATGTCCTGTGCCTCTGCACATGTGACAAGTGTTGCTGTCCTGAGGGTTAGCCTCCCTTGGCTTCTGGGCTTGTAACAGGTGAGGAGGCAGGGGACGATTACCAAATCGGTATGAAGTACCTGCAGTTACAGGTCCAGGTTGTCAGGCCTGTGGAATCGCTGATGTTGTTGCTTGTGCAACTGGGTTCGTGCGAGATGTAAGTATGCTGGGATGTCTTGAGGCAGAATGTTGCATCACCATTTGTTGACAATCAATGTCCTCTACCTCTCGATACCATTCCCAAATACTTGTAGGTGGGTTTCACTTGAACTTCTCCTGAAGACTGCAGGTGAGGGTACTTCAGAATAAGTCAATAACCAAGTCCCTGTCCTCCATATTGACTTGCCCTTCAAGGTCTCTGAACCATTCAACATGTCGAGTAGCTGCACCAGGTGTGTCAGTTGTGAGTCGCATGTTGAGTAGCTTGTTGTAAGCTGTCATGGGCCTGGATGCTCAAGAAGCAGGAGGGTCACGGGTTCATATGGAAGGAGCACAGGTATCGAAGATCTAGTCGAGATCAGTAGAGAGCATGGTCGTAGTGCAGTCTCCATGGAGACCATGGACTCCTATGGACTCACATGCAGAGGAGGACCAAGCTCAAGGAGCAGGCACAGCCACGAAGAGGACCAAGCTCAAGGAGCATGCAGATGGTTACCACTCAGGGGCTCGAGAGACAAGAGCCAAAGGAACTGTCACTGATCAAAGGAGAAGGAGCAGTGTCAAAGGAGTTGACACCAGGTCATGAGGAGGAGGAGCAGTGTCGAAGGAGTCGACACAGCTCAAGAGGCACAGGGGTGCCAAGCAGGAGAGGCCCCTGAGCAGCACTCGATGAAGAGGGTACTCTCTGGAGAGAGAGCAGGAGCAGCATCGCTGGTGATGCTGTGAAGAGGTATATAACCATGCTTTCTCATCATCATAGGTCGAGTGGATCCTCATCCACTCTACTCACCATAACTAGTTATCACTTCAGCATAAGTATATATTAGTTTCAGTCAGCATAGCAGCAATCCATCAAAGGTTGCTCCTCATCGTAGTGTGTGTGTTGTATCACCACTACCTGACGTCCGAAGGCACCCATAGCAGGTTAGCAGTCTGGATCAAGATAGAACCAAAGGCAGTAGTCCACTGCAGTCCAGGGATCACTTCAAGCATCAAGTCAACACACTGGACACTCGTGTTGACGCCACCAACCTTATCACCAACACCATCAACCTCATTATCATCGACATCACCAATCTCATCACCAACACCATCAACCTCATCATCATCAACACTCACACCAGCCCTTGGTGTCATCATAACATTGATATTGATCGTGCCAAGCTACCCCTGAACAGAGTGTCCACAGAGGTCAGCCGAAACCTATGATAGTATATACAACGAACACCACCTGCTGTCACTGCACAACTTGATAGTCACCGATACTGAGACAATAGCTGTCACACAGTTTGATAGTCACCGAGTATCTCGACAGACCAACCTGGGTTTCAGGCGCGAGACCCCTGACATAAGCTTCGATTCTTGAATTGCGGGGGTTGTATTGTTCAGTCAAGCGTTGTCTGAAATAATGCCAGTCATGGAACAATCTCCCTTGTTGGTTGCGATCAATTCGTATCTTGGATGTCCACCATTCGTGAGCATTCCCTTCCAACTGGGACCCTGTGTGATGGATCATGCTCTTGTGGTCATAGACTCGATTGAATGCGAACCATGTTTCAGCTTCAATCAGGAAGATCTCCACATCCCTCGGATTGAACTTTGGGAAAGGGGTGGAAAGTGGTTTAGACTGACCAGGGGAAGGCTCCCCCATGTTCTTGACGTCATATTTGGTGTCCCTAGGTATTCCTTCATAGGGCTGACTGTACCTCAGCCTGGTAGGGGTCGCATACTTCTCATAGTTTGAATATGATTGCATATTTTGACCTAGGAAAGACCCTGTCCTGTGTGGTCTGGGTGCTGGGTCGGGTTCGAATGACCCCTCGTTGGTAGTCTCCTCAGACTGACTGTTGCTCCCGACGAGGGCTTCCAATGACTCCAGCCTTTGCATGAAACAATTGGTAACTGTCCGATTCATTGATAGGAGCTTCTCCATTCTTTCCTCAGACCTTTCCATTAACCTCTGCAGCTCCTCGAACCTATCCTTGGTGTCAGGCTCTGTCATGTTGTCATGGGGCACAACTTGAATGATCCACTCTAATGTAAGCAGTCGCGTGCCAGAGACTTAGCTGAGGTTGATTGAGTAAGGACTACTCGATTTGATTTGCCTAAACGTAACCAAGCATCGTCGCCTAGTAAGTCTCGACTGACTGCCTTGAACACTCCGTTCAGAGGTTGCGCGGCATGGATGTTGTTTGTTGGTGAGTGTGTGATACACCCTCCCCTACAGTACGGCCCCCTTTCGTCTTAATCTTGTGAATCCTCTTTTGAACCTTGTGACCATACCCCCTGGTCATGTGGTCACATCGGCTCAGTTCCATCTCGACTTGTTCAGATCAGCCGACTAGTTGAAGCGTGCTGATTTGACTGACTCTGTCGTCGGCACAGCTCCGAATACTTGCTCGGATCGGCCAACTAGTTGAAGTGTGCTGATCCGACTGATTCCAACATCGGCACAGCTCCAAATACCTGTTCGGATCAGCCAATTAGTTGAGGCATGCTGATCCGGCTGCCTCCGTCGTCGGCATAGCTCCAAGTACTTGTTCGGATCGGCCAACTCGTTGAAGCATATGTCAGGGGTCTCGCGCCTGAAACCCAGGTCGGTCTGTCGAGATACTCAGTGACTATCAAACTGTGTGACAGCTATTGTCTCGGTATCGGTGACTATCAAGTTGTGCAGTGACAGCAGGTGGCATTCATTGTATATACTATCATAGGTTTCGGCTGACCTCTGTGGACACTCCGTTCATTGGTAGCTCGGCACGATCAATATCAATGTTATGATGACACCAAGGTCTGGTGTGAGTGTTGATGATGATGAGGTTGATGGTGTTGGTGATGAGATTGCTGATGTCGATGATAATGAGGTTGATGGTGTTGGTGATAAGGTTGGTGGTGTCAACACGAGTGTCCAGTGTGTTGACTTGATGCTTGAAGTGATCCCCGGACTGCAGTGGACTACTGCCTTCGGTTCTATCTTGATCCGGACCGCTAACCTGCTATGGGCGCCTTCGGACGTCAGGTAGTGGTAATACAACACACACACTATGATGAGGAGCAACCTTTGATGGATTGCTGCTATGCTGACCAAAACTAATATATACTTATGCTGAAGTGATAACTAGTTATGGTGAGTAGAGTGGATGAGGATCCACTCGACCTATGATGATGAGAAAGCATGGTTATATACCTCTTCTCAGCATTGCCAGCGATGCTGCTCCTGCTCTCTCTCCAGAGAGTACCTTCTTCATCGAGTACTGCTCAGGGGCCTCTCCTGCTTGGCACCCCTGTGCCTCTTGAGCTGTGTCGACTCCTTCGACACTGCTCCTCCTCCTCATGACCTGGTGTCAACTCCTTTGACACTGCTCCTTCTCCTTTGATCAGTGACAGTTCCTTTGGCTCTTGTCTCTCGAGCCCCTGAGTGGTAACCATCTGCACGCTCCTTGAGCTTGGTCCTCTTCGTGGCTGTGCCTGCTCCTTGAGCTTGGTCCTCCTCATGGCTGTGCTTGGCCCTCCTTTGCATGTGAGTCCATAGGAGTCCATGGTCTCCATGGAGACTGCACTACGACCATGCTCTCTACTGATCTCGACTAGATCTTCGATACCTGTGCTCCTTCCATATGAACCCGTGACCCTCCTGCTTCTTGAGCATCCAGGCCCATGACACTACCCCCCTCTTAAGAGCCGAGCTCCGTCGAGGCATGCTCTGGTCTGGTCCATGCTGACTCCTCCTCCTCCTCGACAACATCACCAACATCATCCTTCCTCCTTCTCTCAACGTCATCCTCCTTCCTCTTCCTCTCTCTACTCCTCCTGTTCTCTCCTCCTTTCTCTACTTTGTCTACTCACTCGTCCCCCCTCCGACACCTCATACTCCTGGATGAGGTCGGGACAGTTGAGGTTCTCTACTGGTTCCCATGAAGCAGCTTCCTCTGAGTACCCTCTCCACAACACCTTGTACTCTGTAGTCCCATTGTGTGAACGCTTGTCGATGAGTGCTTCGACTTCGAAGTCGAGGTCCTCATCTGGAAGTGATGGTATGGTGGGCTGTTCAGCACGTTGAGGAAGAGAACTTGTTCTTGCTGGCTTGAGCATGGAGACATGGAACACATCATGCACCCTAAGGTTTGCTGGCAATGTGATTCGATAAGCTCAGCGTCCTACCCGTTCCTGAACTGGGTAGGGTCCTGCAAACCGGGTATCTAACTTGGGTGTGGGTCTCCATGTCTTCCAGTTTCGACAGTTGATATAGACCATATCACCCACCTTAAACTCAATGTCCTTGTGCTTCCTGTTATACTGGTCTACTGATCTCCGTTGTGCCTCTCTGATCTGCTCCTGGAGGTACTTGCAATGCTCCTTTCCATCCATGAGGTACTTGAAGCGACCTGGATCATTGACTCCTAGTCGTTGAGGGATGTCAGGATGAGCTTTGGGGTTCCATCCATAGCATGCAAAGAATGGTGAGACACCAATGCTGTTGTGGACCGTGTTGTTGTATACAAAGGCTGCAGTGTCCAGCAGGTTGGCCCAGTCATCCTGTTCATAGTTGCAGTACATCCTGAGGTATTGCTCTATGACCTGATTGACTCTCTCTGTCTGACCATCAGTTTGAGGATGGTAAGCCATACTAAGTGAGTGCTTCACACCCATTTGCTCTGCAAATGCCTTCCATGCTCCTGATATGAACTGCCTGCCTCGGTCCGAGACCATGTGATCTGGATATCCGAAGAGTCTAACCATGTGTCCATATAGCAACACTGCAGTCTGTTTGGCCATGACCGTCTTATGGGTTGGAGCTAGTATGGCAAACTTGGTTAACCGGTCAACAATGACTAAGATAGAGTCATAGGTCTTGGAGTCATACTTCTTCGATGGTGGTAGTCCTTCAATGAAGTCGAGGGATATGGAGCCCCAGGGCCTGTCTGGTGTTGCTAGTGGCTGTAGCAAACCATATGGATGGTGGCGAGGAGCTTTGTACCTAGCACATACAGGACAACTTGCTACATAGTCTGCAATCCAAGCTGTCATGTTTGGCCACCAGTAATGTCGTTGAGCTGCCTTGATGGTAGCATCTCTTCCTACGTGTCCAGCAGTAATACCATCATGGCATTGGGTCATCACCATGAATCGCAGATGCTCTACAGAGAGAGACTGTCCATCTACCTCTTTGGCACTCCTTGAGTGTCGGTTGTTGGTCCTCCCTGGCATGGTTACTTTGGGGATAACCAACCTTCCTCCACTGTACCATAGGTCGTCCTTGAGTTTGAAGGGCTTCTTCCTATGTATCTCCTGTAGCTCTTGGTCTAAGGGCTGGAAGATCTTGACCAGGTCTTTGAGACCTTTTGATGCTATGGACTCCATCGAGAGCATAGGGGCCACTAGGGTTGAGTCATGGTCTGCTGTCTCCTTGAACACTCGAGGAGGCAGTAGTTGCCTCACATTGTGATCCTGCTCTTCACCAGCTGGTTGCATGTCAGTCCTTCTGGTGAGAGCATCGGGTTCACCACCTTTGTCTCCTGGTCGATACTGCAATGTGAAGTCGAAGTCTGCTAGTAGTATGGCCCATCGAGCCTGTTGACCTGTGATGTGTCTCTGTGACTTGAAGTACTTGAGGGCTTCATGGTCAGTAAGGATGACCAGTTGGCTCAGTAGTCCAGCTAGCATGTGTCGCCACTGAGTAAGGCAGGCGACCACAGCTAGGAGCTCCTTGTCATGGATTTCATAGTTCTTCTCGGCAGAAGACATCTTCCTAGAGTAGAAAGCCACTGGATGCCATCATCCTTCATGCTCCTGCTTGAGTACTCCTGCTATAGCAAAGTCACTTGCATCAGTCTCCAACCTTGTTGGAAGGTGGTAGTCGAAGTGCTGAAGCACTCCTGCTGATGTGAAGGCCTGGACGAGCTTGTGGAAGGCCTGTTGGGCCTCCTCTGGTAGCTTGAACTTCTTGAACCATTCTATAGGCTTTACCAGTGCTGTCAAGGGCTTGGCTATGCAAGCAAAGTGGGCTATGAACCTTCGATAGAAGTTGGCAAAACCCAGGAACCTCTGGATGTCATGGATTGACTCCGGCATTGGCCACTCCTTGACAGTGCACACCTTTTCTGGGTCCATCTCTATGCCCATTGGCTTGATGATGTACCCCAGGAACTTGACTGTCTTGGTGTGGAACTCACACTTCGACAGCTTAGCAAAGAGCCTGTTGCTCCTTAAGCGAGTGAGGACCTCAGTGACATGCTTCACATGTGCTTCTTCAGTGTCACTGAAGATCAGGAAGTCATCTAGGTATACTACCACATATATCCCAATGATGTCTTGGAAGATGTCATTGATGAATGACTGGAAGTGAGCCGGAGCATTGGCTAGGCCAAAGGGCATCACTAGGTACTCATAGAGTCCCAACTGAGTGCCAAAAGCTGTCTTCCATTCATCTCCTTTAGCAATCCGGATGAGGTTGTATGCTGCTCTAAGGTCTAGCTTGGTATAGATCCTTGCCTTCCTGAGTAAGAACAGCTGCTCCTCGATGAGGGGCAATGGTGCCCTGTTCTTGACAGTGATCTTGTTGAGACCTCTGTAGTCCACACAGAGTCTGAGACCTCCATCCTTCTTTGGTACAAAGAGCACTGGTGATCATGCCGGGCTCTTCGATGGTCTTATGAACCCCTTCTCGAGGTTCTCATCCAAGTATCTCCTCAACTCGGACATCTCCTTGGGTCCCTTAAGGTATAGGGGCCCTTGAGGTGGCTTACCTCCTTCTATCAACTCAAGGTGGAGATCATGCTTGGTATGATGGGGCAGCTTGTCTGCTTCCACCTCATCAAACACATCTTGCAGGTGTTGGTATGGCTTTGGTATGTCTGCAGCTGTCACCACCTTGTCTACCTCCACCTCCATCTTGACTCCTTTGTCTGCACCTGTAGGTACAAAACCAAAGGCCGGGAGTGATGATGGTGGCTCCTCCAACAGCATGAATCCTATGGGTCCATCTTCTAGAGCTGCTTGTAGTATGCACTCTGCTGAGACAAACTCGTTACCATGAAGGGTTGGTCTCCTCATGGTTAGGTCCCCTGCTCTTGCTGCTTCAGGGGGTCTCCTTGGGGGTCGGTCCTGCTCCTGAGTCTTGAACTCCAGCTGGCCCGTATCCCATTGTATGGTGGGTTTGAGCCTCCGTAGATCAGTGAACCCCAGGATGAGGTCATAGTCTGCAGTGTCAGCCACTGAAGCTTCGACCACACCCAGATTGTGTGTACCAATAGATACCTGCATGCTCGCAGAACTATTGATGGAGAGTTGGTGCCCGGTGACACCATGGATCGATCTTGTTTTTATGGGTTTTGTGGGTATTTGGTACTTACTAATGAAAGAATCTGAGACTATGGACAAACCAGCACTGGTATCAGCTAGTATCTGAGCAGGATGGTCTTGAACCATTCCAGAGAGCTCCAGTACTGCTTTGCCTCCACTGGTAGAGAAACATACTTGACAATCTTGATATATACAGAGTGATGGCGAGGAGGTTTGTAGAGCAATGCATGCCATCAGTGCATCACCCCACTGATGTTTCCCTCATTGTCATCATCATCATGCTCCTCCTCCTCATGGTCGAGGTCCATGGGTTGCTGGTATGAGCTGAGGTCCATGGCCTCGGGGTCACCCATCTCAGTACTGCCTGTGTGGCCATCTCCTGAGTCGGTGGCCTCCTCGAAGGGGTCTGCTGTGGTGACCATAACCTTTGGTCCCATGGGTCGAGAGCTAAGAGGGTCTACCCTCCTGCTGGGGCAGTCTCTGGCCCAATGGCCGATACCCTTGCATACATGACAGGTGTTGATACCTGATGGAGCAGGGCTTCCTTGCTTTGAGGGTTGGGTGGGTTGATGAGGAAGGGGTCGGTTTAGGTTTTGTATAGTTGCTTGTGTAGTTGCTTGTGATGGTGATCGAGCTGGATAAGGTTGAGTGGGTTGACGTATGGGGATTGAACTTTGAATTGGCCGAGACCCAGTTCTTAGTGGAGGTGACGTGGCATTTGGGAGTGAGTGTCTAGCTGAGGACTGCTGTAGTAGCATCCTCTGTTGATTGATCTCCTCAACCTCTCGGTACCACTCCCATCTCTTCCCAGGTGGATTCCTCTCAAACTTCTCCTGTATGCTGCGAGTGAGACTTCCTCTGAAGAGATCCATCACTAGCTCATTGTCATCTAGATTGACCTGTCCCTCCAAGTCTCTGAACCGCTCTACATGACGTGTGGTGGCACCAGGAGCATCACTTGTGAGTCTGAGAGCCAACAGCTTGTTGTATGCCTCCATCCTAGCATTGCATGGGTTGAACTGTTCTGACAGTCGCTCTGTGAAGTAGTGCCAATCATTGAACAACCTTCCTTCTCTAGCTCTATCAATACGGAGCTTGGAGGTCCACCACTCTCTTGCTGTCCCTTCCAGTTGAGCACCCATGTGGTTGATCATCCTAGTCTGCTCATACACCTGGTTGAACTTAAACCATGCTTCGGCTTCTAGAATGAAGATCTCCATGTCTCAGGGATTGAACTTTGGGAAGGGGGTGGCGATGGGCTTTGACCGGTTAAGCTCTGCCATGATGCTGGTGTCCTCCTCATGGTCCAGGGGGTAAGGGTCCGTCCTAGTCCTGCTGTAGGGGTCCACCTTAGTCTTGACATATCTTGGCCCAGTAGGTGAAGCATACTTCTCGTAGTTGATGTCCTCCTGCTCATCCAGGTTGAATGAGACTGATCGTCTTGGTCGTGGAGCTGGAGTAGGAGTATGTGGGTCTCCTATCATAGACTCATCTCCTCCTCCTGCTTGGTCTTCTGAGTGAGAGAGGTCCATTGTCTCCTCCCTGCTCAGTTGAGCTTGTTGTAATCGTTCCTCTCAATGACCCTGTCTGGTAAGCTCTAGCTGTGCTTCCAATAGAGTGAGTAGTCTATTGAGCTTATTGTTGAGGTCTGGGTCCATCATGGTGATCATGAGGAGCTGCTTGAACGATCCACTCTAATGTCAGGGGTCTCGCACCTGAAACCCAGGTTGGTCTGTCGAGATACTCAGTGACTATCAAACTGTGCGACAGCTATTGTCTCGGTATCAGTGACTATCAAGTTGTGCAGTGACAGCAGGTGGCATTCGTTGTATATACTATCATAGGTTTCGGCTGACCTCTGTGGACACTCCGTTCAGGGGTAGCTCGGCATGATCAATATCAATGTTATGATGACACCAAGGTCTGGTGTGAGTGTTGATGATGATGAGGTTGATGGTGTTGGTGATGAGATTGCTGATGTCGATGATAATGAGGTTGATGGTGTTGGTGATAAGGTTGGTGGCGTCAACACAAGTGTCCAGTGTGTTGACTTGATGCTTGAAGTGATCCCCAGACTGCAGTGGACTACTGCCTTCAGTTCTATCTTGATCCGGACCGCTAACCTGCTATGGGTGCCTTTGGACGTCAGGTAGTGGTGATACAACACACACACTACGATGAGGAGCAACCTTTGATGGATTGCTGCTATGCTGACTGAAACTAATATATACTTATGCTGAAGTGATAACTAGTTATGGTGAGTAGAGTGGATGAGGATCCACTCGACCTATGATGATGAGAAAGCATGGTTATATACCTCTTCTCAGCATCGCCAGCGATGCTGCTCCTGCTCTCTCTCCAGAGAGTACCTTCTTCATCGAGTACTGCTCAGGGGCCTCTCCTGCTTGGCACCCCTGTGCCTCTTGAGCTGTGTCGACTCCTTCGACACTGCTCCTCCTCCTCATGACCTGGTGTCGACTCCTTCGACACTGCTCCTCCTCCTTTGATCAGTGACAGTTCCTTTGGCTCTTGTCTCTCGAGCCCCTGAGTGGTAACCATCTGCATGCTCCTTGAGCTTGGTCCTCTTCGTGGCTGTGCCTGCTCCTTGAGCTTGGTCCTCCTTGTGGCTGTGCTTGGCCCTCCTTTGCATGTGAGTCCATAGGAGTCCATGGTCTCCATGGAGACTGCACTACGACCATGCTCTCTACTGATCTCGACTAGATCTTCGATACCTGTGCTCCTTTCATATGAACCAGTGGCCCTCCTGCTTCTTGAGCATCCAGGCCCATGACAAGAAGCACTGGTGTATCTCAATGATGTAGTAGTATTTTCATCCTTGCTCAAACAACACACCAAGTCCCTTGACTGCTTACTAAAAGTGGCTCAGAAAGTTGGCCTAAAGTTCTTGCTGGCTAAGTGCCACTTTGCACTATCCTCATTAACTCTCTTGGGCCATCAGGTCTCCACTCAAGGAATCTCCATGATTCTAGACTGCACTCAAGCAGTTCAAACACTATCTCCACCCTCAACACTCCAAGACTTGTACCATTTGGTTGGCCTCTTCAATTCCTACAGAGACTTCATCCCAAACTATGCTGGCCAGGCAGAGCCTCTCACAAACATGCTTCAAGGCCACAAGTATAGACAGTCAACCAAAGGCACGTGGCAACTAGTTGATGCAAATGGGAACACCACAAAGGCTTTGGATGTCAATATAATTTGGGGGCTGCACAAGATGAAGTGCTTGCAAGTCTGAAAGCTGCTCTGTCTTCTCTGCCAACACTTGCATATCCAGATTTCAGCCACCCCTTTTTCCTCTATGTTGATGCATCTCAGCAGTCCTTTGCAGCAGCACTTCACCAGTGACTACTCAAGTTGGAAGCTAACATTCTGGCCAAGTCAGCAGCTGCCACACATGCAGAAGTCAACAACCTGGACCTCCC